TATGAATAATGCATTTGCATTTATGAATAGCAACATGTGAAGTACTATTTGGTTGTTCCTATTTCCTAATGTGGCAGATATAACTGTGTTTTTATTCAAGGTTCTTAAAGACTATGTGAAGAAGTTGGACCAAATTGTGTAAGAAGACCCAACAGTTGCCAGGACAACTGCAAATTACCATGAGTCTTTACAGGCTCCAGGTAGCCATTAATTTTCATGATAAGAAGGTGTGTTGTGATTATGGGCTTTGGAAATATATAGAGAGATGCAAAATAGTGTTTGAACTCCCCTGCTGGCTGGGAAAGATTTTTTTACATTAAGGACTAGCAAACTATTTCACAAAATGCCTTCATGCATCATGCTTCTAAAGGAAGTCTTGTACTCATGAGCCCCATAAAGATTTTAATCACATTCCTAAGATTGCGTGGGACTGCAAAAGGTGAGGGACGATAGCTTTGGCATAGGATAGTTTTCACGTGCCTTTGCTATTCCATTCCATGTGCTTCTCTGTTAGCTGGACAGTAAATTAGTTGAGAATTTGATGAATTTTGTGAAGACTGGAAACCCAAAGCTGCTTTGTTCAACTCAGTTTTGCTTAGCCCGAGATCACTGCAGACTGTTACTGAATATACTGAATATTGCTGCCTACAGCTGGACCTTCTATTGCTACGCTGTGCTACGAGTCCTCTGACCACCTCCTCTTCTGCACAGGAAGCAATGCTTATCCTTTACGTGACTTATAAAAATGTAAAGAATCTCCTTACTATTTTTGGCATGCGTTTAGCAATAATGGAAGTAAAGGATCTTCTACCCGAGGCAGTTACTTTTTCTAGAGAAGAGGACATCTTTACTTTATGTAGGCTTGAATAAAGTCCTCAACCATGTAAGCTATCTCACATTTACAATAGTGATGCTTGCTAGTTTTGTTTCTTCCTTACAGGAATGAAACAGAAATGTTTCACTTCGTAGTGCCTTTGCTGCCCACTGGATGTGCCTTAGATTTCCAGCTAAATTAATGCCAGTTGAAGGGATTGGAGGCTATGACAGTGAATATTCATTAATCTCCCGTGAAGAGTAATGTCTGTTTTCCTGAAAGGTTCATCTTCATAGGCAGCTGTTTTGATCAGAGAAGGATTTCAGCAGGGCGGGTCTGCAGAGGATGACTTCTCATTTGGTAGATCTGATAGGGAATGTCATCACTTTTGCTATAGCAAGAGGCAGAATTAAGGAGTGTATAGAATATGGCTAGGGGTAGCATACCCAAGTAGTTAGCGCCAAGACTCTTGAGTTAAACACGCTGGGAGGCAGAACTGGAACCATGGGATTAAATCAGCAGACTTAGGTTAGTCAGACTGAAGGTTGGCATGAGGAACTTCAGGCATAATGTTTTGAAGGATCAGGCAGGAAACAAATGCTTGAGCTGCCCTCCAGTCTCCTGGAAAACTACCTTCATTTCCAGGAGAAAAGAAGTGACATGTGCCAGATGTACGCGAGACTCTGCATTAGTAAATTAACAGGGCTATAACACTCAGGCTTGTGCTGCCTTTTTTAATTGCCTGACATGCATATAGAATGCCAAATGTTCTTCTCTAAAGGAAGCTGAATGCAGATTATGCTTTGCAGCTCTTTGCACTATTGGTTAGCTGGTACCTATCACGCTGAACATCAGGAACTCAGTCCACAAGAGGTGAAGGGGCTGCTACTTGTGTAGTTCAGGTGCATGCCAGTGAAAGTCTGCAAAGTTGTGACAGTGGAGTAAGCTATTGACCTTTTTCTAGCATCGTGTCTTGGACTTGTCATTCTTCTTTCTGAGACCTCATTTACAATAGCTTTTGAATTGGAAATAATTGGAAAGGACTGTGGCTGCTTTTATCTTTTATGCCCTCACATAGGGACAAACAAACCTTTTTAAAAAAGGAACAATCCACTCCCACTACACCACGTGGATGTATTGCAATAACCACAGTTACTGTAGATGCACATATGCGTGCCTACACACACACACATGTGTGTATTCTTGGAACTGAGTAGTTGAGGATAAAGCTAGAGTATATAGCTGTGGTGTAAAGCACAATGTAACTCCCACTGCAGGAGTGAATTGACTGGGATCTTTTCCCTGCACTTCAAGTGTTACCATCCGTTCAATGAGGTTTTGTTTTTGGCTGTCTTTGGAGCACAGAAACAAAATAAAACAGGAAGTAGACAATGTAACTTCAGTAGTTAATCCCCATGTCCCTCTTCACACCCTACACCCTGACACCCCCTCTCTACTCCCAAACCTAAAGCAAAAAGACCCTGGTTTGCAGTATTTGTTAGGTTCCATTATTATATCCATTGCTAGAGGACGAACAAAGGCAAATGCAAACTTTTGACAAGTTCTTTGACTGTCTTATCTCTTCCCGTGCTTCTACCCACTAACCTGGCTAGGCTGTTGGCTGCTGAGCTGCAGAAACAAGGTTTACTCTATTAGGTAGAGTATTGGTTTGATTTCAATCCCCACCTGGTTTTTAGTCCACCGTGTCCCATCTTCCCCCTTCCTCCCCCTTTTCCCTCATTTTTACTAAAAGTAACATGCTCGCTACATTGTGAATTTTTTACCCTTAATTTTTTTATGATATCCTGACCTCCTGTCTTTATCATCCTACCTCTTGGATCACAGATAGCCAAATTTCCTTGGGATTCTCTTGGCTTCAGATCATCTTCTCCAGCTGCATGTACCACACTGAGCTGGAAGTGAAAACAGCTAAAAGCTTGTAGCTCCATTCTGTGAGAAGAAACTGCAGTTTATGGGATATGCATTAGTTCACATAACCCTTCCCCTGACTCTTTATTCTTTCTTGAATGGGGAGGCCTAGCATCTGCTTGCTGTCTCTTCTTCCAGGGTGGTTTCCACCAGAGATGTTTTCATACTAGTGTAATCTGGAATCAATGATGGCTAGACTTCTATAGACCCTTGTGAGGGATTTTGAACAGGTCATTTACCACTGTGACACACTTGGTTTACTTCTCTTTTGCTCATCTGTACAGTGAGAAAAGAGCTAATGATTAAACCTGGGTTCGTTGTGGAGGTATTGACTTGCATCTTGTCCCTGGAACACCCTTTGCTAGAACGAACTATAGAACTGGCTATAGATTTTCTGCAAGGCTGTATGTAAATCCTACAGTGCAACGAGCAGTACAGTGCACAGGTGAAGGTTTTTTTGGTGATGGGTAGCCTGGTCTGCTTTCATACCATCTCACCTCCCTCCCTGGAGACACATGGTAAATGATGTTTTCAGACCCAGACTCAAGTGCAGACAAGTCTTTCTTTGGTTTTAGCGATAGAGACAGACAGCTTTTTAAGTAATTGCCTTAGCAAAGTTCAATTGGTAATCAGAAGGGGTTGAGACAGAGTGCTGGGTTTGCTTTTCTCCATTTGGAGAGTTTTTCAGATGTTTCTCCTGTACTCAGTAAAGACAGTACTTGCTGATTCAGGTATGCTGAGAGCGAGCTAGGTTCACCAGCATGTTCCAGCTGCTTTGCAGTGCTCTGCAAATGCAAACCAGCTGCAGGCCTGGTTTAACTCAAGCCAGGTTTGTGGCTGGTTTGCATCACTGGAGCAGTGTAAAGTACCTGAAGCATGCCGGCTAATCTGGCCTATTGGTGAACCTTTATAAATGACTTGTTTTTCTTCATGTTCTTTACTTGTAACTTTATTTATAGTTAAAGCCCATAGAAATTGTGTAGATTGTATTGCTAAGGCAGACTTTGTATTCTGAACTAAAATCTATAAAATTAGAGGGTTTTTTAAGCCAGAAGTTTTTCTTCATAACGGAAAGAAAATTGTCAAATTATATACTGCTCCTCTGCACTTCTCTATGATGGATTTCTTTTAAGATGCCTGTTCTTATAATAAGATGAAATAGTAAGTCTGGGATCTAAAAGAGTAGGCATTATAAGTTTTATTTTACAAAATGTGGGCTCAGCTTTTATTCTAAATGCAGTAAATTTTCTCTAGTTTGAGAATGTACACAATATTTGTGTCATTATCACTATTGTCTGTAATGTACTGATTAAAAAATACTTTGGAGATTTTGAGAGAGGGAGGAAATTGGTCAACTGTGATTTTTTCTTGTATATATAGAAATTATATAACTGAAATAATAGTTACCTACCTTCAATAGCATTATGAGTGTTCAAAATATGCAAAAATATTAATTGCTAATTATATTAGTCTGTGTATAATAATTTTTTTCATACTCCTTGTCTTTGAGCCTCTTATAATGTTGAATATGTGATGTGTGTTTTTAAACAGTATTATACAACAGAAGAATGACAGAAGTGTCATTACAGCTACTCTGGTCTACATTGAACCCAGAATTTTTACTCTTCACCTAGAAATATTTTTTAAAAGGAATATAGGATGATTAAAAAAAAAATCTTTCTGAATAAACATATTGACGTTCGAGTCAGAAATTGTATTGCTCTGATCAGCTGTATATTGAAAGAAAACATGCCAGAATTTGCAAAGTTTTTCTAGACTTTGAGGTAAAATGCTGAAGAATTAATTACTACCTCATATTAATTAAGATAACAATGCAAAGCCCTTCATTAGAATCATAGGAAAAGTTCTTCCTTGGTCCTTGGAGAGAATATTATATGCAAGCCCTGTTGTGTGGGTTACAAGGTGTCACTGGAATTTATATGCATTACTTGTCTAATTGCAGTAAATGTAGCATGTCCAGATAGGTTTAAAAGTTGGATGGCTGTTTGTTACTTGCTGGAAATCACTTGAAACCTTGCTACTCAGAGGCAGCTGTTCACAGGTCCTTCACCTCTCCCCAGAGATAGGTGGAAGACTCTGTTGTTGGACCCTGTCTTTTATGGCAGAAGCAGTAAACATGACAGGTTGTTTGGGAGCCATCTGTTTTAAAATGGTTGCTGCTTTGTATGCAGTAATGAACTTGAGATCAGTTTTCTGTCTGTCTTCATAGTAACAGCCTTGTTTGGTGTCACAACAGGTGGAAGTTGATGGGATGAAACTAAATGTGACCAGCAAGTGGAACCTGGCTTCACCCTTGTTGTCTGTCACCATTGATGGCACTCAGAGGACTATACAGGTAATCTCACCAATGCATCATTTGTAGAGCCGAGATAACCAGAAGTCTCGGGGCATAAAATAATACTGAAATGTGGGATCTAAACTTGCTGCATCATAAAAATTATGTGATGTTATAAAAGTAGCACAGTGTTTCTACTTTGAAGGCAGATTCACTCCACTGATGCTCTGGATGCATTTGAAGGTACTTACCAAGAGTTTTGAATATCTTTCTTTTAAAGAAAGTTCCTTATGTAGACAGAATTTTACCCCGTCCTAGAGGATCTCTTTATTAATGGCTTGTGAGGAGACATAGTTTCTTAATCACTTAAGAAATAAAAAATGGATTACTGAAAAAAATCACAACCAACCAAAGGAAAACAAAAATATGCCAACCCACAACAAAACCCCACACAGGGTCATGGAGTAAAATTAGTCTCCTCCTTATGTTTGGATTGTGTGATTTTTCCACTTTTGGGCCTTTTCAGTTTGAAAGTCACAGGACAGTGCATCTCCCACCTAACATGTTTTTTTTTTTATGGTTTTATAAAATATGAATAGTTCCATGACTTGAGAGGAAAAATGTAGATAAAACGTTCCAAACTTGTGTGGCTCTAAGAAAAGAGGACTAAAAACATTAAAGTAGTTGTATATTCTTTTCTTCTGACCACTTATGTGATTGAAACCAACTCCAAACACCAGACTTGGCTGTTGACTGCCTTGTAAATGTTCTGAATGTAACACCAGTCAGGATTTATGTATTTGTTGGCAAATAATTTATTTGCAAATATCTATTGATCCTGTCAATCATGAAAAAATCAAAACTTATTGAAAGCATTTTTCTACATACAACAGTACCTATTTCCTATATATTTATCAGTGATACAGTGGTCAGATTTCTGCTAATTTACGGTGAAATGAGTGAATTTCATTTTTCGTTTTCACCCCTGGTAAATTACCCAACGGGAAAAATACTATTTTTGATTTGATGGAATTTAAAAGATGGCAGCTTTAAAAAAATTACTGTATCATTCAAGTTTAGTATTGCCTGAGAGGGAAATTTTCCTTATGTGCCCAAGTGCGTTGTGGGCATAAGTTTTGTAGATTTCCTGGAAGGTTAATGCCAGCTTCAAGGCTTGTGTATATGTAAAAGAATATTCTATTTTTAGTGTTTTGTTTTGGGGATTTTGTTTGTTTGTTTTTAAATGGCTCAATACTGATCCATTTTAGTGCTATTTTATAAAGTACCTTCATAATACTGAATAGGAAATAATACCGATGTATGGCTATGTAAGATCTGTCTAGTTGAAAAACATTATGGTTAGAATGGATAACTGTATTCATAAGGCCCCATTGCAAACCGCATTACTGTATGACTGGATATATAGCTAATAGTAGTAACGCCATTTAACTAAAAGCGAAAGAGTTGAGCTGGCACATAAAACCAGTTTCAGAATTAATGATTGTGAGATCTGAACATGCTTTCTTCTAGGAGCCGATCCAGCAATAGTATTACTTGCACTCCCTGAGTACGACCAAACTGTATGAAATATTGCAGATCTAGCCACAGCAACGCGCAGTGAGCTGACTGCGTGGTATCTAGCCAGCAGAATGTGGAATAAGCACACATGTTGTTTCTTTCTCATAGCTTATCTGTCTTTGCTTTTAGCAAGGAAACTCAGTAACTTGAGAAGTTATTAATCTTTTTAGCGTATATATGTAAATTTATGGGAACCTTAAACTTGACCTCTGATATCTGCTGACTGGAATCAAAATTGGTTTTTTGGTTATATGTTTCTGTAGACTCACCCCTCTGCCAGAACCAAATTAGACAACTGTATTCCTGTAGGTCAATTTGTCTCCAAAAGCAATTGACCCCTGAGTCTTGAAGTATCTTCTTTCAGCAAAACTTAGCCCTAGAGCCATTTTAAGCAACAAATATGGATGAATCGAATAATTCCAGCTGTGCTTTATTAATTTTCAGCCAATCTAATTTTTCTTCATAGTTGGTTTCATTCTTCTAAATTTGCTCAACCAAATACAATCTTTGTGAACGTTGTATTTCTTTGAAGGTATGATTTATGCACCTTTGGGTCGATCCTGCAGTCTGGCCACAATCCAACAAAGCACTTAAGCCTTAGAAGCAGGAAATAAATAATTTTAAAATGTTTTGGTTTGCAATGTATTTATGTAAATTATAGTCTAGACATTCAAATTGTTACATATCTGTTGCATGTTTAAAAATAAGTAATTAAGCATGCTTCTGTGTTTTCACTCCTCTGCTAAAGGCTCAATGAGTGTTAGAGCAAAGCAGAGCACCAACCCTGCTCTATCAGTTTAATACCCCAGTTTTCTAGGACAATTTCTAGAGTATGGATGGGACCTGGGAGTACATCTGAGTCCCTGAGGAGAAGTATGTGCCCTGGTCACAGTCTGTCTAGGGCATACCAGGGCACAACAAGGATGTGTGGCAGCCTCCCCCCCTCCTGCTTTTGTTTCCTTTGCGAGGAAGCCCATCTGTGTGCAGCAGATGGGCACTGCGGAGTGCCTGGCCAGGTCCCCAGATGATAGAGGGACCAGAACCCTGGGGTACACTGCAGGTCTGTTTGCCTGCAGCATAAGGGCTCTGAAATCTCTGTGCTGCTTTGGATTACTGTGAAATCCATATACATATACAAAGTGATGAACTGATGAAAACTTGGGATCATTTGGGCAAGAGATTTCTGAGATATAGTCTCCAGAGACGGGGGTGTGGACAGACCCCGTGGCATTTGTTGTCATACACAGATTCCATCAAGGATTTTCTGAAATTGTTTTTAATAGTTTCTCAGCAAATCCCAGTTTTTCAGCATTTTCTTTACTTATGACTAGACTCTACCTCTCATTTGGGGAGGCTGAATTTAACACATTGTGAAGTGTGGAATTTTATTCAACAAGCAAATTAAATTTTTGTGTGCAAAAATACTTTACCAAAATAGTTTCCCTGCTTGTTTCCAAAGATGTTAGTGGTTTAGAATTTGGACTCTGCCTTTGCTGAAAATCAGAGAGCCATAGGAACATAGTTACAATACATATTCCTTAGGATTCAGATTTGAAGGGATTGGGTTTTATTTAATTGAAAATACAAATTTAAAATACATTTTTATATAAACCATGATTTGAATAGGATATAACCTTTCAGGCAGTATTTTTAGAGTAAAAATAAATGAATAAGTGAGGGGCTTAATGATTCCTGTGAAGAGTGAGTGGAAAAATAGAGGTTGAGTTGAGTTGTGGAGAAGAAGCATAAGAACTTCAGTGGAAACTGGAAGGGAGAGTGGTGGTTCAGAGTGGTATTGTGGAAAGTAATGACAAGTGGAACAAAGGCAACAGGCATATTTTGGGACAATGAGGGCACTTTTACCCCTTTATCTCTTCTCCCATGTACAAGTAAGCTAGATTTCAGTGAACCCCGCAACCGCAGAAGTTGTCTGTGGCCTCTTCTCTCTCCCTGTGCATATGAACTGGGGAGCAGGCAGAAGGAAGGAATAAACTGTCTTTTCCACAGAATTTGAACATCTCCTTTTATTCCTCATGGGAATGATAATCCAAGGGGATCACAAGATAAATCAAAACCACCATGAAGTCCAGAGACAGGCACGAACCTAGCTGCAGCTCTGTCCTTATTACCATCAAGTTGCAAGAAGTTTCCTTTTCCTGGGACATTGCACAGGAAGATCAAGTATTTGCAGAGTGAGGAGGTTGCTCAAGGAAAAAATGCATGTAAGAGATCCTCAAACCCTCTTTGCTTTGCCATTGCTTGTGTTTGGGCAAGTTCTCAAAAACCACCCCACTGACCATTCAAACTCCGAGGCTGCTCTATGGCAGTGCCACAGGGACAAATTTTACAACTGCTTAGTGCTGTTAAATGCTCTGCTTTCTTTGATTCCATCATCAAACAGTCAACCCATCCATATATACCATTTACTTGCAAACAGTTCCATATAGGAAAAGGATGCTGAGCCAGAATCATTGGCAAATCAGCAAAACAGTTTTACAGTGGCAGTGGTGATGCCTTCTCTTTGTATTTCCTGACTTGCGGAGAATTGGTTTCTGATAAACTGAAGCTCTGTAAGATGTAGGGAAAACTCAATTGGACAAGGTCCTGAGCAGCTCAGTATCACTTTGACATTAGCCTTGCTTTGAATGGAGAATATGACTACCTGATTTCCAGAAGTCCCTTCCTGTTCTGTCTCTCTATTGGGCATCCCAAACTCTACAGTAAAAAGGTCTTTGTCAGTCACAGCAAGGTGTAATTAAGAGAGTAATGGAGTTGCTAAACAAGAACACAGTCCTGTAAAGCTGAAATAATCAGTCTCAAGCTTCAAGTGATTTTGTGAATGAAATAGATGAAGATTTGTCAGGGGAGCTTTCTCTACTTAGTGTTAAAGGGAATTCAGTGATGGCATCACTTATTTTTCCATTTAATTTATTTATTGCTTCAACAGTTGCAGCAGGAGTAGTATATTCTACATCCTGGGATATGACAAATTTAAGTGCTTCTCTGATACAATGTTTCTTTTGATTATTATTTTGGTATATAATAACAGAAAAAATGAAAATGCTGTAGGTTGTGAAGCCTTTGTTCCTGGGAAATGTCTGACAGGAGAACAAAGCCTATGCCCAACTATTCATTTCCTTCAACCCTGCAGAGACTTTTTCAAACATGTAATTTTTAAATTTTTTTAAGAAAAAGTACTTTTTTTTTTTTAATTTTGCTGTTTTGAAATCTCAGATGTAGTCTGTGGTAATGATATATGCATGATATACGTTTCCAATCTTAAGTACCATTACCTCAGCACACTCATTTCCTCAAACCCTGAAAAGGACTTTGGGAAGGTTTAATGTGTAGTGTTTGTGAAGACTGCTTGACAGTCCATTCTTTAGTGCTGTGCAGTTACTGCACACACTCTACTCTTGCTGTTGAACCCATGATTTCAAAATTATTCTTGCTAGGTTGTCTCCAGAAGAAGGACACAGGAT